CGACTCTATAAATTCTAAACCACCAAGAACAGGCCTTCTTATTGAAATTTAAAATTTTCTTTTTCAAAATCTTACATTGTGCAGGCACTGACAATAATATAAGAATAACTCACAAGTGAATAAAAAACCGGCCAACCGATAATACTAAGTAAAGTCACTCTATTTTTTTAATGTGTTGATGGTGTTTGGTGGGCTGAATATGTAAATAACAATGAAGGTACATGAATGCAGCTCTATAAAATACCTAGATACAGGGTCAAAATTTTGACTTCTGTTGTCATATCATATATAGAAAATAATCAGATAATTGCAAATTAAAAGAAGTAATGATGAGCTCAAGACATGAATAGATTCTATGAATTTGGTACTATTTTGATCAGAATAATAATTTGTCAACTTTAGTGCATGTCTGAGTTTGAGCCTGCTGATAAGCATACAATACATGTACAGGATATGAAAATTCAGACAACCTGCTGAAGCAAGAGATGAACTGTCCCTCTCGGGTGAAATTTTGATTCATTAAGAATTGAGTTAAGCCATTTTGTCGAATGATTTTGCCCACCCGTTTGACAGATGCAGCTTTGACAGCAGATGATCGAGCACAAAAAGGGACTGGTTTTTAAACATGGCAATCTGTCAAGGAAGTGGGCAAAATATTCTGTCAATGTAGCATGATTGTTAAGAATTTCCGTTTCGGACAAGTTTTGGAAACTGGAATTTTCAAATTCAAGGAAATATCCTTTTACAGATATTAGGAGTTACAAATAGGAAAATGTCACGTGTACATAACATTTTTCATAATTGTGTCCACAACGGACACATAGAGGCACCCTATTGGGGGATATATGTGAGCCCACATGCATCCTCTAATAAGGGGCCTCCATGTGTCCATTATGGACATCACTATGTTATGAGTTTTGTACACATAGCATAACTGTGAGCTTGAAGTCGGAATACACTAATTAATAGGAAAAGGGATTTTTTCAGATATTATATATCTTCTATATATTAAAAGTGGCTATGTAACAGAATTTCTTGTTTTTAACGGAAAAACTAACGGAATTTGTTGTTTTAACGGATTATGTAACGGAATTTCTTGTTTTGATGTCTATCGACGTGGAAAAAAGTCATAAAAATAGTATTGAAACATAAGGCTATAGGCTAATTCCGCTAAATTAATGCGTTGGAAAGCTAACTCATCTGGCCACAATTTTGATTCAGACATCATTCTCCAATTCGATCACTTTCTATGCCAAAAATAGGTCTCAATATGAGACTAAAATATCGGAACATAACTTTTCGGTTGGAAATTGATTTGTGATCATCTTTTGACTAAATTTGATTCCATTGACGTCTTCCTTTATCCAATTGACTCCGAGCACTCTCAAATCTTCATCGTGAGGTTCGGCACAACTTTTAAG